GTGTTTTGCTCTTCTTTCAGTGAAGAAATACTCTGTAATTCCGATAAAACTTGCTCGATAGCCACGCTAACGCTAGTTTCATCGGCTGAAGCTGCCATGTTCTTTAGACTGAACTGTTGCGCTTCTTGTTTCGTCACACCTCAACCCGCCTCAAAGCCAACGCTGATTGGACGTTCGTTTGGTGAACGGCTCCAAATTTTCTTTAATGAAGAGTCTCCAGACTGATCTGCGAGTGAAACTTTGAAAACTTGCGAGATCAGGATGGTCTCACGAGGCTATAAGTTCACAGCTCACGATGTTTATTCTCACTCTGTATGACCAATCAGACATGTTAGATTTTTTTTGACCTTACGATTCCTGATCGGGAGGTGGTCATGAGAGGCTAATCGCCCCTTTACCACACCACGCAATACCAGGCTGAAAGGAGGCCTGATGGAAAAATTCTCGCACGACCGGAAAGTCGGCCCGAAAAGGGAAACAAAACCTTATAGTTTATGCCTGTCTTAATGGGAGAAATGAAGAATTGGAAGTTTTCCTCTGTTCAGGAAAGCTTTGGTCCTAATTAGGTCTGAATTAATTAATAATAACTCCAGTTAAAGAACTTCTGGCTTTTGCTCTCATTTTTTTTTTCTTTTTTTTTCTCCCACAGTTGTTTTTACTGAGATGACCTCACAGATTCAGGGTGCTGTCATCAGTCTGCTCATTGGTTCAGATCATTTTTTAAATCTAGTAAAGACTGGTGAACTTTAACAATCGTTCTTATAAAGCATTTTATTCACCTCTAGATGGCAGTTAGCATTTAAAGCAAATTCCAAAAGAGTTAATAAACAAACCACTGGACTTTGTTTCCAGTTAAGAAGACGTTTTGCTTCCCATCCAGGAAGGTCGCCAGGGGTGCTGGCATCTATCTCCAGCTGTCAATGGTCTATAAGCGGGGTACACGCTGACAGGACGCCAGTCCATCGCAGGGCAACACAGAGACAAACAGGAAAAACAACCATTCGCACCTAAGGAGAATTTAGAGAAGCCAATTAACCTAATAGTCATGTTTTTGGACTGTGGGAGGAAGCCGGAGTACCCAAAGAGAACCCACGCATGCTCAAGGAGAACATGCGAACTCTATGCAGTAAGACTCTGGGTCGGGAATCAAATCGAAAACTTCTTGCTGCAAGACAGCAGTGCTACCTACTGCGTCACTGAGCAACCACCTTTTACCATTAAGTATTTCAGCAGTAGCAGTAGATACATGCTGCCATGTGGTCTTTGAATTTGAACAAATTGGCCCTGATAAGAGGTGATTTTTGCTAACCAAAGTTTGAGAACCTTGTTTGTGGAAAATTCAAGTTTCACCCCAAATATTGGCTAAAATGGGCGACAAATTCTGGAAAAGGAGGCAGTTTTGTTGTGGTTTTGTTGTGTAAAATGTGCAGAAAGCTGTTAGTGTTCTGTGGTTGACCTAAGCAGGTAACATTTAGACGGCATTTGTCTGTGTGTTCCTGTTGCCTCAGGGGAACCGCGCAGAGTCGGCAGAACGAGGCGTCAGGATCCGGCCGAGACGATGAGCAGCCGGGACCCTCCCGCAGGAAAAGGCAGCCGAGCATGTCGGAAAGCATGCCTCTGTACACGCTCTGCAAGGAGGACCTGGACAGCATGGACAAGGAGGTGAGGATGGGGGGGGGGCTTTAAACCATACCTGGAGGAGGAGACTGAATGTGTTTGTGAGGTTTTCCACTAATACTTGTGCACAAACAATAAAAGAGTGACTCAGCAGTTTTCTGATGATGCTTTAACGTTTTCATCAGCTGCTGGGAGCTGCATCCACCTGTTCCCTTCATTAAATTCGCCTTTTTCTGCTTAATTGACCAAATCTGCTTTTATAATAGACATTTAATCCTTAACTTGAACTATTGAGCAGAAATGAATCCAAACAAACTATAAAAAGGATTAAACACCATCAGTTCTGCTGTCATTTGAGACATGAAGCAGGACCAGACATCAGCAATGATCCAAATCCAAGGAGAGTTATTAAAACGTGTCCCAGTGGCTGGGAATTATGGACCAAATATAATATCTCTATTGTTAAGCTGATTTAATCTGTGATATATTTATCTCTGTGTTTTTCTGTTAATAAAGTCTATAAAGGTAATTCTAAATCAAGCTGTCCCAAATGTCACATAGGTGCAATTTTCAACAAATGATTTTAGATAAACAGGAAAAGATGGTTAAAAAATAAGTTGGCAGCATTTTTAAATGTTGATACATCACCCAGACCTACCATTTTCCTATAGTTTAATAGTTTAATATCGTTCTATATCCAGCAAATATCACATGATATGTATTTTTTGTTTAAAATCTGCCAAAGGAAAACACTTTTTTATTTATAAAGACCAACAGTTTATTTTATAAAATAAGGAAAGACATGAAATGTTTCATAAAGAATTCATTTTTTTTCCAGAAGGATATTATGTGATGTAAAAAAAAAAAAAAAAAAATACACAAAGGAAATATAGTACATTCAGATCATTAGTTAGTTCTTTTACATTTTTTCCCAATTCTAGAGGGTCCGAAGACGCGCTTACTTCTCCGGAGGTCCAGATTGCAGATATGGAGGGAAATTTGTTCCGTTATTTTTGCAAGCAAAGAATAGGAAGTGGGGAAAAAAATAATAAAAATACAATCCAGATATTTAAATTAAAAGCTTCTTAATAAACGTCAACCCTCCCCACCCCACCCCCGCACACAAACACAGTTTTCTTTTAAAAATTTTATGTCTCCAAATTTCTCTTTTCAGATGTAATTTTAGGAGTGGCATTCTTTCATTGATCACTCTCTCGCCTATTGGTCTGGATGGACGTTAGTGTTTATCTTGGGCCTTAAGAGAAGAGAATGTGATCTGTGAAAAGCAATTAGAAAAGACTGAAATAAGTGAAACTCAAACTGAAACATTTACACTTCATAAATTAAATTGATAAGAGAAAATCAGTAAAAAAGTTAAAATAACTTAAAATAAAAACATTCTTCCGTTATCGTAGCCGCTTATTCCCTAACGGGGGACTGGAGCTCCAGCTGTCAATGGGCGAGAGGCGGGGTACACCCTGAACAGTCCACCAGTCAATAGCAAGGCCACACAAAGACAAACAACCACTCACACTCACTCCAACAGTAGTTTGGAGTGTCCAATCAGCCTAACATGCAGGTTTTTGGACTGTGGGAGGAAGCCGGAGAAAACCCACGCAGAAACGGGGAGAACATACAAACTCTACACAGAAAGATCCTGGTTCCCCCGGGACTCGAACCCAGAACCATCTTGCATTGAGGCAATCATGCAAACCATCACACCTACTGTGCCATCAGAGAAACGTATAGAAAAATATGTTGACAAAATAAAATCTAAAGAAAATAGAAAATTTGATCAATAAACCTTATTTTTGATTACGGTAACAAAAGTTTTCAAATTTTCTTTTCTGGATTGCATTTTTACTAGTTTCCATTTATAAATCCTGTTCTTTGCTTGTAACAATAATGGAACAAAGTTCCCTCCATATGTTGTAGATAAAGTGAGGTGTTTTGTATTTTTTGACACGTGGGATTGAGGTTTTGCTTTTTTCATGATAATGTTTCTTAACCTCAGGAACATACCAGCATGAGAACATCATGTTTTCTTTGCTCAACTGATTCATTATAACTTCCACACATTACTTCTTCCTCAAAAGCCTCTTCTGCCTTGACTTTTCTTGGTTATTTCTATCAATAAATCATGCAGAGGAGTAAAACGCATCCAGCCTCTGATCTGAGGTTTTATTCATTGACAATTCAGACCTGTTCAGTAGGAGTTCAGCTTTCCTTCAGCTGACAATGATGTCAATATCTGGGTAGGTTTCCTGATTTCTCACCAGGATTTAGCCTGCGCCTGCAGTGATTAAATATACATATGTTGTAAATCTTTTCACCCTGTGTCTCCTTAAAATAGGAATCTTTGTACTCGCTGTCCTCTTGCCTCTGGATAGGATCAGAAAATGGGACTCGATGTTTTCACGTCACACAGTCATAATGAACAGAAAATTCTGCCTATAGGATATTTCTTTAGTTCGCTTGATTTCGATGATCTAAAGTTTTCAGTTGTTAGAAAAGATTTCAGACAATCAAAAAACTTCTTGACAGAAATGAGTAGTTTATTTAAAGTTACTGGTTTTGACTGATAAGAGACGGCCAGGAATTTCCGAATTCCCCATCTTTTTTTCAGTCAGTAAATGCATCATGGCTATCAGGATTTGCTAACCAGAAATCTCAATGTCGAGGTAATATGAGGCTAGAATAGGCATAAAGATTAGAGAGGAAATAAATGGTGGTTTCTTTGGGAGCAGTTTGGTTTTTCATCTGGTTGATGCTGCTGCAACAGGAAGTGAGTACGGTGGCTGAGAGGTCCAAACGTGAGAATGATACAATCGCATTAAACATGCAAACAGATTAGCAAATCATACAGTAAAGCAATGCAAAAGAAAAGGTTGTAATGGCAGAAAATAGAGGCAAATCCTACAACCCATGAAATGAATAGGAAGCAAAAGTTACGCAATCCCAGAAATTGTGGACAAACGAGAGGAAATGGTTCACATACTTAACAGTGGTGAGTAAAGCCGAGTATACACTGAGATTATTATTTTTAATTGTTGCAAGCGGCTACAGCTCACCATGTACAATGAAACCACAGGGTTTTGTCGTACTGTGAGTTCAGAGCTCACGATGCATGTTCTCACATTGTGAGACCCGACGCTCTGATGCGATCTACCTGCTCACACTGTACGTCTAAAAACCACGTGGGACTCGGCTCCGCAGTGAGATGGCGATACTCTGACTCGTCTATTCGGAATCCAAAGAGTAGAAGAGGAAAATGAAGCTAACTAGAGTAAACGCTCTGCCTTGGCAATTTGTGTAATTTTGTGCTGAAAGCCCTAAAAAGAAAAGGCGACGACGTATTTGGACAAAGACATGGCTGAGCAAACGTGGCTACTACGGTCTGTCAATTTTACAGAAAGAACTCTGTTTCACTCGCACCCCTGCCATGATTCTGTGTTTTTATATGAGAGGACGTGGTTAGCAAGATGATTCAGACAAACCGGCCACAACCAGACTTGCTTGCGAACCTTCCGCCACAACAGTCCTGACCTCTTGAGAAACGACCAATCAAATTCACTTTATTCACTCGTGTAAAGTCGTGCACCACTCTGGAGAATTCGGAAATGCAACGGTTGGAACAGCCGTTTCCCTACGACTTTAACCTCTGCCCAAAGCAAGAACGGCGGAAATAAAGCTGTTCATTTTAAGGTTTAAAAATAAAATCTGATTCTGTTTAGATCCAGGTTTGCAGGTCAAACTCTGACACAGAGTTTGGAGCTTCGCCACCAACCTCTTAGATCACTCAGAACTTTGAAACTTAATGGTTTTCGTCCAGTCCTCGTAGCAACAGGCTAAAGCTTTTTATATTTCTCTTATTTCTCTCCGGTTTCCAACCTTCCATACCATAATCTCCTGATTTCTGCCTGTTATATTTGGGGCCTGGGGAGGTAGGTGAAGTGATTACTAATGACAGAGAGCTCAGCACCTCCTGCCTGGATAATGCTCCTTAATTGAGTCTGAATGCTGCTAATGCTTCAGTGGGGAGAGATATGACGGCAGACCCTTGAGATGTGCCAAGAACCTCTCAGCGAGTGAATATTGCACAGGAAAGGGCCCTTTGTGGTTTGTTCAAACGGAACATGTGACATGGCATGTTGTAGGAGGCTGAGGGCGACTCTTAACTTTTTCATGAACTGTGGGTTTCTGATGCGACGGCTCAGCTGGTGGCCTTTCAGCTACTTCTTAGTTTTTCTTCTACAACTTTTATTCCATAAGATTATCTGAAAGATTACTTTGAAAACCACAATAATGACTGGAATAATTGGCTAAATAAATACTGAAAAGGTGTCTGTCTTAAAATTATATTTAAGTCAGAAGAGTAGAAAATTGTCTGCTAACATTAATGTTGAATTCGGCTGCTTTATTCCCATGTTCTACTGCACGGCTGATCAGTATGAAGTCCGTGCTGTAACCTTGTTTCTTGACAGGATCTATTTCCGGGCTCCTTATACCAGGGATTAAAGTATAGCGATTGCCATGGGTAAAAGGAATCCCTTGAAAATAAATTGACGATAAATACATTTAAAAAAGACAATCGAAATCCCTCTTGCGTTTGTCAGCCAATGGTAGCGATCTGAAACTAACAGTATTAGCCAATCAGAAGAAGAAATGGGCGGGTCTTAGGAAAGGGTGTACCTCCTCTTGTTTTTCGCTCAGTGCAGAAGTTATACTAATAGAGTCACCTTGCGCCGTTTAAAGGCTCCATTCAACGGTGGGACATGTTTAAAGCCAAAAAATAAATAAATGAAACTTTGTGTTTGGAGAGAAGGACGATAGAACGGAATTGCATGGATTGGGCACAATGGAGTTCATTAACTCCGGGGAAGATTTCACAACCATAGATAAAGGATTAAAAAATAAATGGCGCTGGGAATGGCTGGAGGAGAACGGGCGAGATGGTCAGCCATTTAGCAGCCGGAGCAGGAAGTTAGGTGAACCAGGCTGTTGCTTCTGGATGCTGCGCTCCAGGAACGCTTAGCAGCAAAATT